AAATGCTATATTCAAAATCACTATTTATAGTTTAAAATCCAATTAAAAATCAATGCTCAAAAATTTGAATAAATGTTGACATGTAAAAAAATTAAATGTCATTTGTCAGTATTTATGAAAATAATTATATAAATAGAAATACGATTTAGATTTAATTGATTAGCTTACCAAATAATTTCGGAAACTAAAACTTTATCAAAACATTATAGATCACAATAAAAAAAGCGGCATATTGAATTTAAAATTAATCATAAACAAAATTATGACATTTCACAAAAAAAATGTTTAACGACTTACTTCAATAAGAAGCAGAGAAATTAATTATTTCAAGTTATGTTATAGGCAATATTGCCAAGCAAATTATAGATACAAAACATTATTGTAAAATAAATATTATCATATTATATTAATTATGGACCAAGAAGGAAATATTTTGACATTATAAATTAAGTGCATATTGGATATATAAAATTGACATTCACTATTTTCAATTTAATGCTTTTATTAATTTTTAACAATTTAGGCATATTTTTATGTTAAAACAACGTTTGCCGGGTTAGCTAGTATATATATATATATATATATATATATATATATAGACTCTTATTTTAAATTATTTATTAGTAATTAGTGCAGTAAATGGAGAGAAAAAAAGGGTATAACCTGTGAACTTTTTTACTGTGCTCCAATTTGTATCATATTTTGGAATCTCTTGAACCAAGTTAATTCTAGATGAAATACGATTGATAGTAATTTTGGTGAAAATTGCACTCATAAAACTATTTGATTTAAAACATACCCTTAACATATTTATTTAATCAGTTACTTATTAGCCAGGAAATCCATTTTGCTAATTTTATGTTTCCTCAAGCCATTCTGAATCGTTTGAGACCAAATTTGGAACAAGTATGCATATTTTTTATTGGAATAAATACGATTAAGATTTTTATCGTGCTACAGATCTACATATAATGTACAGTATAAGTTTCGGAGTGTCTTTATCTATTTTCGGATTTTACATTCAGTGTATTCTATATATCGTCATGGCCTCGAAAACATTTTCGTTTTGGTTTCGAAATGCCAAAGCCAATGAACTTTTCATCGTTTCAAACTTATTTAATTATAGTAAAAGAAACACGAGTAAAAGAAAATTTTATCTACGAAGTTTTTGAGAAATTTAAAGAATTTGAGGAAAATGTCCGGAAACTATATATTGCAAATTAGTAAAATATTAGGTTGTCAAATATCTCCCTTCCGCCTTTTTGTATTATAAACCAAGAGCAAAAAAGCGGAAGGGAGATATTTGACAACCTAATATACCAGTGTGATTTGCACGGGTTTTATTCAAAATTTTCGTGTCAGAGTATATATGAAAGTATGTATGGGATGTTAGTAAATTTTATCTAGTTTCTGTTAAGCTAACTAAAAAAGAGTGTCCTGGACAAAATTTTTGTGATATTTAAAAAAGTTTAAATAATGTCCCGAATCCATATGTTGTATATATGTAAAATACATTAGGGCTACATTCGTCCTGGCTTAATTCTATTTTTTTGTGTCAGAGTGTATATGATAGTTTAGAAAGGATTTTAGTAATTGTATCCAGTTTTTCTGCTAAGATAACAAAATAGAGTATTCTGGACAAAGTTTTTGAGATATTTAAAAAAAATAGAAAAATGTGTGGAATCATTCCATATAGTGTAAATTGCAAGATTCATTAGGTTTTCATCTGTTTTATTCTATTTTTTTGTGTCACAGTGTATAAGGCGGTTTCTATGTATTTTTAGTAAATTTTATCTATTTCTGTTAAGCTGCT